GATAAGCTGGAGTAGGGGAGAATTCTAATAGCATGTTAGAGCAAGAAGAAACTTCATTATCTTATTCCACGCCTGCATATTACCAACGAGGAAGCTGAAGTGGAGAGGATGCCTTCTCTTGCAGGCAGCTGGATTTTTTTTTTTTTTTTTTTTTTTTTTCTTTGTCCTGGCTTCCTTTCTTTGGGCCCTGGCTGGCAGCCATGACCCTGATGCTATCTCCTTAGATAGACGCAGGCAGCCTCTGGCTTGCTCATGGGAGGGAGCTGGGCCATGAAAAGCAGAGGTTTTTTCCTGTTTCCCCCTAGAATTAGCTCTGTGATCTACAAAGGCACAGAGCTTCGATTTGCATTTACCTTCCTTTTCCCACCTATTTCCACCGTGATTCAGGCTCCTGCTGGATCTTGCTCTCTCCTTTGCCCTCCCCCTAGCTCTCTGGAAGGGTTTGTCTTCCAGTGAGCTTCTAGAAAGCTCCAGGATAAGGGAAGAGGCCCAGCCTTTCCAGATGGAGAGCAAGTAGGAGCCAAACTGGCTGGAGGCCTGACAGGCTGAATTGATAACAAGGCCGCGTCTCTGAGGTAGCTCAGCCAGGAGGACGTTGGCCAGTTGACCCCAGAGAGGGGGTGCTGCTGCAGCTGAGAGCTTCGCCAGAGGCACGTAGCACACAGGAGGGAAAGAGCCTCGCGTTGAGAAGCACGCACACGCATTTATTAGACACATACTCACGTAGGCATACAAGAATAAATAGAAAGGGAAACTGAGGCCCAGAGGGAAAGAGGAAGTTAGCAGCCTGTCTTCATGTGGGTTTCTGCCATAAGCCGCTCTATTTCAGGTCTCCATCCAGCTGACTGGTTGACAAGCAGAGCCACTTAAAATACCTGTCCTGAGCCTGTTGGCTTAGCCTGTCTCTAAGGATTGCAATAAATCCCTCCTTTAGCTATGTTTCTATGATAAGCAGCACGTAGGTTTTAAGCCCATGAGGGCATCTGATCTTCCCAGCAGTGCCTGCACACGTGGAAGGAAGGTGGGGCAGGCGTGGGGCACCCCCAGGCTCACTAGGAAGCCTGAGCCAGGAGGCAGGGTAAAAAGCCCCAACTGAACACCCTGGACATTTTTTAGTTTGTTTTATTTTATAATACTGTCTATTTTCCCGAGTATAAAAGTGAATATATATCCAAGGTATTAAAGTTTAATATTATTAAAGAATAACAAATAAGGAAAAAAGCTCCCTGCCATTCTATTAGCCAGAGATATTAGGTTAAGCTGCATGCAGTGGCTATTTTTGTAGGTCAGACTGGCTGAATATCAGCCATTTCATATGGTTCAACCTAATCTATTGGTGTATTTCCTTCCAAACACTTTCTTTTCCTTTAAATTTGTGTCTTTGAGATCATGACATATACACGTTTATGCCCAACTTTTGTTCTTCATAAAACATTATAATGTCAGCATTTTCGCCGAGTAATGAAAAACTTCCTGGGAGCAGTCTTTTTATTAGTTACATAATATTTCATTCTTTGGGGACCATCAGGGTCATTTCCAGTTCCAGGTTGAGTTGTTCTAGCTCTGGTGCCCCAGGCCTGAGGAAAGAAAGAGCCTTGTTTCTGGTGCTGTGTTGGCCAGGGAACAGGCCGGGATCAGGTCCCAGCAGAGCTGGGGAGGGAGCTCTGGTGACAGGCGGCCAGAAGGCAGCTGGCCCTTGACTCTCTGGGGGACATGTGCGGAGTGCAGACAGAGGCTGGGCAGTGGAAAAGTTTGCCCCCGAGAGGCTGTGCAGAGTGGGGAGAGGGGCATACTTACTGCCAGGGACCAAAATAGGATTGTGGAGGAGAGTCAGATTCCAGCAAAAGGCTTCTCTTGCCCAGAAAGGATTATTTTAAGTGCTCAGGTATTTATTTCAGCCACTGACACATCTACAGTTTCTGTGTTAACTGAGCTGGGTCAGCCTGAGAAGCCAGCTTTCTTCCCAAAGTGCTCTCTCCACCTTAGGCTCCCCCATGGTCAGTGGCAGGGTCAGGCCAAGCTCTTTGAGTGAGACAGAGATCGTCACCCTTTACCGTGCTTCCTGTGATGTCTGGTTTCCTAGCAGAAGTGAGAGGATGACACAGAGGGGGGGAGGGAGGGAGAGAGAGAGGGAGGGGGAGAAAGGCAGAGAGAGGAGGGGGAGGTGATAAGGGGCCCTTTCTGGTGTTGATTGGTGCTGGGGCTGACATTGGCTGTCGGTCAGTAGAAAAGTCACTAGCCTTTTTGAGCCTCACTTTTCACATATATAAAATGGGAATAATATTCCTTACCACATAGGGCTGTTTGTGAGGCTTAAATAGGTTTTTGTATTCAAACTCCCAGTACAGTACCTGGCCCATAGTGGGCTCTCTGTCACATAATATTGCTGTTTTATTACCTCCCTCCCCCATCTCTCCTTCTAAACTCCCTGACTGCAGGAAGAGAATGTCTAGTGATAATTAAAATGTTAGCACTTATTGAGTATTTACTATTCATTCGGTAAGTATTAAGGGCCTACTATGTGCAAGGCACTTTTCTAAGCACTGAGGATACAGGAAAGGAAGCCCTTGTGGAGTATACATTTGTAGTAAACAGATAATATAAGCAAATAAATAGACAATAAGTGTACAATATTTCAAGTGGAGATATGTACTATGAAGAAAAATGTAGCAGGGCAAGCGGGGAGGGAGGGACAGTGAGCAGGGAGGGTGGGGCAGTGAAGGGGTGGGGGGGCAGAGCAGGGAGGGAGGGGCAGTAAGCAGGGAGGGAAGGGCAGTGAGCAGGGAGGGAGGGGCAGTGAGCCGGGAGGGAGGGGCAGAGCAGGGAGGGAGGGGCAGTGAGCAGGGAGGGAGGGGCAGAGCAGGGAGGGCGGGGCAGTGAGCAGGGAGGGAGGGGCAGTGAGCAGGGAGGGAGGGAGGAGCAGTAAGCAGGGAGGGGCAGTGTGCCGGGAGGGAGGGGCAGTAAAGGGGAGGAAGGCAATGAGTGCTCTGTACGGGGCACATGTGCTAGCCATTATTTGAACATTAAATATCATACAATTATTGTTTAATAAAGCACTTTTGGACCCGACGAGGAAACCTCCAAGCACTAGGAAGGATGACAATTCTCTTATTTTGGAGGTGACAGCTGGAAAGCGGGATGGGAAGCCGAGGCTCCCCTTCAGCTTCCGCACTGCCCCAAGCTTTGTCAGCAGTGGAGAGGGAAGATGGGTGTTGGGCAAGGAATTTCCATAACCCCAGGCACAGACTCAGCATATTAACTCAATCCCTTTGGGACTGACCTGTCAGGTTAATCAGTTCCGCAGACACTACCCGTTCTAAGACATCAGTCGTATAGGCTTATCACCTTCCCTGGACAGGGCAGAGGTTCAGGAGCTGGAAGGCCTTGGAGAAGCGAAAGCTTTTCCCTGGTTCTGGTGAGTGGAGGCCGTAGGGGAAAGCAGAGGCATGCAGTATTTGGAGATACAGTTGTCTGTATCTCCACCCAGAAGGAGCAGCAGGCCAGTGAGGTTCTTGTCCAAGCTTCTACTTGTGGGTGAATATGGAGCCCTCTGAACAGTGTTCTTTACGCTAGGCACAAGGTCTGGTACCATGGTAACTTAGAGAAAACAATTTATTTGTGTTGCTTGGGGGAGCTGAGGCAAGGTCATGCTGTCTCTGCCGGGTTTGTGTGTGCGCGCACACATATAAACTAAGAGAACAAGGGCCGTGTACTCTGGCCCTGTTCTTTTGCTTGGTGATCTCTGCCTGCTGTGGAGCCCCTGGGGTTCAGTTCTGTCTCTTGTCTCACTCCAGGGCATGGGCAGGCCAGGGAAGGTGTGGTTTTGGGGGGAGCTCCCCAGTGAGGTTGTTTCCTTTTTGGCTGCCCACTCTGGCCTCGATCTTCATGCGGGAACTCTTGCTCTCAGCCCTAGGGTGGCAGATTTCCTCTGTCCTGTGCATTCCTGGCCTTGGGACCATCTAACCACAAAGCTTCATTTGGTTGGGGACCCTCAGATTCTTTCCTTTGGGTAGGAAATGCCAAACCTGGGAAGCGTCCTTAAGTCCCAGACATCGGTGCTGGAAGGCCTTTGAGATCATCCAAATGTTACTGTAATGTTGGCTCCCTAAGGGCAGGGTCTTTACTTTGTTCACTGTTAGAACTCCAGAGCCCAGAGCAGGGTCTAGCACATAGTGCACACTCAATAAATACCTGTTGAATGTGTGGAATGAATTCTATTTCAGCCTCCACTCAGTCTATAGAGGAGAAAACTGAGCCTAGGAAATGGGGTAACACAGAGCTAGGACTGGAACCCCAAATTCCCTTGTCCCTTTTTGTGTGCCCCCTCTCCTTGGTGCTCAGAAACTCAGTTTTCCCTGGAGCTGCCAGCATTAGGTGAGATGAGATATAAAACCCTCTAACCGTACCTAGCACATAGGAGAGGCTAAATTAAAGTGAGTTCTTCATCTTTTTGTTCTTGATACTGTTTTCAGGTTTCTCTCTCTTTTTTAAAGATATTTATTTATTTATTTATTTATTTATTTGGAGGGTGAGAGCAGGCAGGGGGAGGGGCAAGGGGGAGGGAGAGAGAGAGACTCCCAAGCAGACTCTGCCGAGTGTGGAGCCTGATGTGGGGCTTGATCTCACAACCCCGTGGTCACGACCTGAGCCGAAACCAAGAGTCAGATGCTTAACTGACTAAGCCACCCAGACACCCCTCAAATTTCTCTTTGAGGCAATGTTCTGTACCAGCATTTTTCTGCCACCTCACACCTCTTTCCTGGCAATCATGCCTACTCACTATTCACTTATCTATATTTTAGGAGGAACACAGAAGAATTACACTCAAAGATGACCAATAGCCTTGTTTTGAGAGGCTAATCCTTCCAAGGGTATTACTGAAACCAGTGGATCCTCGCGGGTAGGATGTCCATGGAGAGAATCTTCTAGGCTCTCAGGGCGCTGGGGGTAATCCTCTTTGGACGCCGCCCACGAGGCTCTGTTGTCTTCCTCTCCCGCAGTGGCAGATGAAATGCTGCAAGTGTGACTCTAGGTTGCCTCACAATTACAATAGTCACCGAGTGGAGAATGTGGTTTCGTCCTCGGGCCCCATGCGCTGGTGGCAGTCCCAGAATGGTACGCTCTGGCCCCCTCCAGGGGCCTAAACTTGTGGGAGGTCCCACAGGGTGGGGGGTGGTTGGGGTTGCCCGGAAGCCCTTTTGGGTGTCCCAGGCATTTCTTACGGTGGTGGGACATGTGTGGTTGACAGACTTTCTGCCTCTATGTTTGAGGTCTCTCAGATGCTGTAGGTAGAAGAATTTGCTGGAAGTTAAGGAAAGGGTAAGAAATGCGAAGAATGCCTTTATTTCACCACACTTAGTTACAGTGAGCTCGTTGAAGGAATTGAGCTTGTAGAACAGACACATTGAAATCCTTTAGTGTGTTAGGATCATCAAGAGATGATGGGAAGGAAATTTGGCCAAGGACAGATGGGCTCTTGAGTAGGAAATATAGGGAGAAGCATGTTGATACCATTCCTCTGGAAGAGGGAAATCAGAGGATGGACCTTAATGTTTCTGACTTCCCAGAGCTAGTAGAGTCCAGAGCCTTCTTCAGGCTGGGAAGATAGAATTTCTCTGTTCTAAAGTTTCTACTTTTTGTCCTTCCAGATGTGAACCCTGTCTCTCTGCAGTTGGACCTGGACAGGAGGTTCCAGCTTCAAGACATCATGGTGGATTTTAAGGTATGCTTCCTGGAGATGGCAGTGGATAGGAGACGGGGACCCTGAGCCTTGTGGGCTTGGGCTTATGGGGAGCACAGTGGCTTTGTCTCCCCAGGCTTGGGGTGATGGCACCACATGGTAGGTGTGGTGACAAGGCGACCTTTACCCTGAGTCTGTGTCATGATGACAGCAGAGGCCCACTCCTGGGAGCACAGTGGCACATCCAGGCCCCCCGTCCTGGCCATGCAGTGCTTGTGTATCCGCTTCCTCTCTGTATCCCCCATCCTCAACCCATCTAATTAATTCAGCTCTGCCAAGTACCAGTTCCACTGGGTCTGGTCAGTTACTATATAGTTGTGTATTCTTGGTATGTTTAATAATTTTGCTGATGAGACTGAGTTTAGCAAACAGCCAATAATTGGCCCATCCTTATGAAAGATGTGCTTTGGGAGCAGCCCCTTTGGTGGGCCATGTACTCATTCACTGCTGTTACTTCTCAGAGTACTTTTGGATTCTGCTTTTAGACCAGCCTCCCAAGATACTCCTTTGGGAGGGAACATTTTTGTTCATTTGTCACAGGTCATTTTCTTTTTTTCAGAGAAGATTTGGTTTTATTCTTTCTACAGAAATAGTCAAATATTTAAGGATCAAGCTTGGTTAATAAGATTAGATGATCACGGGGCGCCTGGGTGGCTCAGTTGGTTAAGCGACTGCCTTCGGCTCAGGTCATGATCCTGGAGTCCCCGGATCGAGTCCCGCATCGGGCTCCCTGCTCGGCAGGGAGTCTGCTTCTCCCTCTGACCCTCTCCCCATCTCATGTGCTTTCTCTCTCATTCTCTCTCTCTCTCAAATAAATAAATAAAATCTTTAAAAAAAAAGATTAGATGATCACGGAGGGTGATATCATTTTTCAGGAGCTAAAATGAGCTGTGAATAAAAAGCAATAGGATCTAATTTCTTCCTTGACTCAGAAAGTTAGCTCTGAGATCCTCTCTTCAAGAAAAGGTCAAAAGTATTTTGAGAAATGGCAGTATCATTTGAATAAATGCCCAGTCTCTAAAGGTGACAACTTTGAAGGGCAACATTCATCTGGAAGGATATTGTTAGTTACATTGCTTGTTCATTACTCACTCATTCATTTACTTGTCCATTCTTGCTACACACATATCGAACACTGGTTGTGTGGTAGGTTTGGGGCCAGATGTTAGGGATAGAAAGATGAATAAAGCTAAATCATGGTTCTCACATTGCTCTAGTATATGTTGGGAAGACAAAGGATTGATGGTGAGGAGATATGTATGACGTGTGCTCTGATATTGCTAGGAAATGGTGCTGGGAACACAGAGGGGTGTCAGACTTGGTCTGTCTTTGGGGTGTGAGTCACAGAATGCCCAGGAAAAGGTGCACCTTTTAGGCCACTAATAGCCGGGCAAAGGGCAAAGTTCATTCTTGGACAAAGAGAACCAACCATAAAGTACAAAGGCCTGGAAGCAAGAGGCAAGAAGGTATGCAATTGGGGAGGGGCCAAGGGAATGCATATATAGGGTCTGGAGGGGAAAATGTGTATATTGTGGTGAGAAATAGGGATGTGGAAAGCTACAAGCTGGTGAGAGATGAGTTTACAGACATAAACGAGGAGGAGGGAAGTAGACTAAAGCTTTATCCATTCATTCGACAAATGACTAAGTGCCTCCTGTGTGCTAGATGTTGGGGGTGCAACTTGAATAAGACAGACAGGGGGGCCTATGGTTTACTGTAGTGGGTCTCAATTAGGGGATATTTGGCAATTTCTGGAAACATTCTTGGTTGTCACAACTATGGGTGTGCTATTGATATCTCATATGTAAGAGGTCAGGGATGCTGCTAATCATCCTATGATGATCTGGACGTCCCACACAAGGAATTATCCAACTCCAGATATTAACAGAGCCAAAGGCTGGGAAACCCTGGTCTAGAGGTAGAGGAATCAAGAGCAGCAAGCCAACAAATAAATGATTCGAAATTGTAGTGACATTTATGAAGGAAACAAACAAAATGCTGGAATGGGGTAGGGTGGGCAGAGTGTGGGCAGAAGAATGTGCACTGGATAGGTATGAAAAATTTTGGGAGGAGGTGACATTTAAGCTGAGAACAAAACAATGAGAAGGAGCCCACTAGGGGGAAGAACATTCCAGGCAGAGGAAACAACCTGAACGAAGGCTCTGAGGAGGGAATGAGCATGGTGCAGCTGAGGGCTTGCTTGGACAGATGGAGGTGCACAGGGCACGAGGTGAGCTGAGGAGACAGGCCCACGTAGCACAGGACTTGGTCAGGAGTTCAGACTTACTCAAGAAGAGCAGGCAGAGGACTCGAATAGACATCTCTCCCAAGAAGACATACAGATGGCCAGTAGGCCAATGAAAAGATGTTCAACACCATTAATCATCAGAAAAATGCAAATCAAAACTGCACGGATATATTGCCTCATCCTTGTTAGAATGGCTGTGATCCAAAAGACATGATGTACATGTTGGCCAGGATGTGGGTAAAAAGGACCCCTTGTGTGCTGTGGGTGGGAATGTAAATTGGTGCAGCCACCAATGAAAATAATATGGAGGTTCCTCCACAAACTAAAAATAGAGCTGCCCCATGATCTGACAATTCCACCTGGGTATATATCAGAAGGAAATGAAATCCGTGTCTCGAGGAGATATCTGTACCCTCATGTTCATTGCACCATTATTCACAATGGCCCGAAACACGAAAACAAGCTAAGTGTCCATCAGCAGATGAACGGACAAGGAAAATGTAATCCCCATCCATATATCTATACACAATGGGATTTTCAGCTATAAAAAAGAAGGAAATCCTGGCTTTTGTGACAACATAGGTGGACTTCGAGGGTATTCTGCTGAGTGAAATAAGTCAGACAAAGAAAGACAAACAGCAGGTGTTCTCGCTTATATGTGGGATCTTAAAGAGCTGAACCTATACAGAGACTAGAATGGTGGTTGCCCGGGGCTGGGGGGCGGGGTGGTGGGGAGCTGTTCGTCAAAGGGCCAACGAACTTCAGCTATAAGATGAGTGAGTTCTAGAAATCTAATGTATAGCATGGTGACTGTACTGAACACGGTATTATACACCTGAAAGTGGTTAAGAGTGTAAATCTTACATGTTACCACCACACACAAAAAATGGGAATTATGGGAGGGGATGGACGCGTAACTATTACAATAATCATTTTGCGGTATGTACAAGTGTCAAATTGTCACATTGTACATTTACACTTATATATATTATATGTCAATACAATCTCAATAAAGCTGGAAAAAAAAAGAATAGTGGAAAGCTATTCTAGGGTTTTTTGCAGAGGGGTGACGCGGTCCATTTTGTGTGTGGTGGTGGGCGTAAACAAGGTGAGAGTGAACAACAGGGAAATCAGGTGGCGCCTACTAGAGAGGTGAGGGCGATGGGCACTGAAGCCGGAGACAGGGCCTGGTGTGGGATCTGTTTGGAGACTGGGTGTCCGAACCTATAGTTTGAGGAAGTGGTCCAAGCTGGGAGCCGTCAGCATAAGGACAGCATTGAGAGCCCTGAGACATGGGTGAACCCACCGAGGGAGGAAGGACACAGTGCGTCACGCTGAGAGGCTTGCACTTCATCTTTAGCTAATGCAGACCTGTAGAGGGGGCTGGAGCAGGAGTGACGTGGTCAGGTAGTCATCTAGGAAGACCTCTCCAGTGAAGTGGGGAGAGAGGCTTAGAGGGCCTGGACATGTGGCTGTGGGATAATTTTCTGGCCTGACCACCTGGGTGGTGGGCTGAGCTAGGGATCACATTCTTCTAGAATGTAGATCACCTTTCTCTTGGCTTCCACAGTTCCCCTAGGGAAAATCTGATGGGGTCAGTGTACATCAGGAGAAATGGACCCGGATGCCCTGAAGCCCCCTTGCTCACTCTCGTGCCCCTTCTCCCTCCCTGTGATTCTTTCGGAGGAACCACCTGTGCATCTTTAGGAGCCTGTTTTGGTGATTGTGTGTCTCTGGTGACCCCTTCCCGTCAGTCCGCAGGGCCCCCACCCTACCTGTGTCTCCGCAGGGGCCCATGCCCGCTGGGATGCTGATTGAGCGCTCCTCGGACTTCGGCAACACCTGGCACGTGTACCAGTACCTGGCTGCTGACTGCACCTCTGCCTTCCCTCGGGTCCACCAGGGCCAGCCTCAGAGCTGGCAGGATGCTCGGTGCCAGTCCCTGCCCCACAGGCCCAACGGGCGCCTGGATGGGGGGAAGGTAGGTAGAGGGGACTCTGGAAAATAGGCACGGGGTTGTGGCGGGGGAGGCCCCTGACATTACTTTGCTCTCACAGTCCCCCAGCGTCTGGAGAAGAGATGGCCCCTCGGTGCGCCTTGCTGTCTTTCCTGCTCCCTAGCTGCTCTCAGAATATTTGCTGTTTGTCCCCTTTGCTACTCAGGAGGCATATTTCAAAAACATGTTGAGAGCACTCCATAACCCAACCTGCCCTCTTCCTTAGCCAACCCCCACTCCCCCCCGCCCCGCTCCTTGGCAGGTCCCCATCGTGGAAAGGGCAAAATCCACTCTTCTTCCGTGCAAGGACTTTGAGAAGGTTAGTTTAGATTCAAGTGAGCACATTACACAAATTGAATTCAATCTTCGATCTCACCTTGATGGGGTTGAACACAAGGATGAGCTTTCTCAGTTTAATCCCTCCATCTGGCCCGTGGGGAAATTCAGGTACAAGCCACAGGTCCGAGTCACCGGAACTTACACCCCGAGTGAGAAACAGAGAACCTGCCTCTAGAAACAGCTCAGAATTCTCTCCCTGACTCCTTCCACCAGGGGTAGGATTCTCGTCTTTCTTTCGTGACTGCCTTTCCCCTCCCCACCGCTTGAGGGTGGCTTTGGGTTCTGTCCTCCCTTCTTTGGCTCAGGTTCCCTCGGAGCGGGTCCCCTAGGCACCCAGTGCGCAGCGTGCTGCCCTCCCTGTGCACGGTGCCTCTTTCCTTCGCAGGAACAAATCCTCCTGGGTTACAGCCCAACCCACACCCATGTTAATTAACCACATTCCCTAGACTCCAGATCAGAACCCTGGACTTTTTCCTGATTCGTGGAGGTCTGTCATGAAAACTCTGGAGTCCCATAGAATGAGTTGTTTTTATGAAAAAGGAAAAGCACTGTGGAAATGGGGGTTGTCTAGATGGTGGTGGTGACCACATCCATGAATCCTTGGGTTCTGGACCTTCTCATTCATCCAAGGTGTTTGGAAAATTAGTATCCCCTAAACCCTCATGTGTACATTATACATCTTACCATTATTTTTGACCCAAGGAAATCAGGAAATTCTTGGGATATCTGTATTTTCAAGTGGAGAGAAGCTGTCTACACACACACACACACACATTTAGGGTCCAGTGATCATCTCACTCCCTCAGGGTTGTTGGTAGACCTCACATCTATGGTCTACTCAGGTTCCAGGTGAGAAGGACCTTTGAGCAGTGTGACAGGGATGGAGCATTGGTGGGAAGGGAGACTTCCTCTGAGCCTGGGGTGCCCCATTTACCTCTTCCCCAGGCCTTCCCTCCCCCCTTTCTCCGTAGGTTCAACTTAACATCATGGATTTAGCATCTGGGATTCCAGCCACTCAAAGTAAAAAAATTCAAGGTCAGTGTGGTTACCCCTCTTGCTAATGGTGGAACTATGGGAGTGGGGGCGAAACTTGGAACTTGGGACTTGAAGTGGTTGGTTGGTTGGAACTTGGGTCACAGAAATTCCCTGGTCTTTCGTATTTCTGTCTACATGGTTGGATTTGATATTCGCCCTGCTTATTCCATCAGGCTGGGTGGTAGACTCAGGAGGCCTGAGGCGGAGTGCGGGGGTCTTTCCTGCCTTGGGAATGTTGAGGGCTGAGGAGGGCGGCTCCTGATATAACCAACCTTATGAAGGCAGGGAAGATGGGCTGGTGAGATCAGAATTCCTTTCCTTATTCATCCTGCCCTATGAGACTCGATTTGCATTTAACTTCCTTTTTTTTTACTTTCCCTTCCCCAACCCCCTCCCCTTTGTTTTTGGCCCCCGTCTCAGAACTGGGGGAGATCACAAACTTGAGAGTCAACTTCACCAGGCTGGCCCCTGTGCCCCAGAGAGGCTACTACCCCCCCAGTGCCTACTACGCAGTGTCCCAGCTGCGTCTACAAGGCAGCTGCTTCTGCCACGGCCACGCCGACCGCTGCGCCCCTCAGCCTGGAGCCTCTGCCAGCCCCTCCACCACCGTGCAGGTGACAGCCCCGGGTGGGAAGGGCCGAGGGGAGAGAGCAAGACCAAAGCAGACTTAGGACATTCTTGGGGCTCCTATAAAACAAGGGAGAGCACTCAATTTCAGATGTGGGTCTTTAACATTTTAGCCACAGTGGAAAAGAGTCTAAGTGATGATTCCTTCAAAGATCAAAATTTTGTAGCACTTCCTTAAGCCTGCCTTCTGGCTTATGACGGTTTGATTTTCAGTCACCTGTAAGCACATCTGTGAGTCTTGTGGGGAGCTTAAGGCGATGCTGCTCAATCCTGGCTACATGTAATAATTTCCTGGGGAGCTAAAAGAAAAAAAAAATGCCCAGACCTCTGTCCTCAGATATTCCAGTTTTATTATTGGTTTTTAAATCTTCCAGGGGGTTCTCAGCACTGCCACGGTGGAGAGGCACTGGTTTGGGGACTCTAGAGTCCCATCTAGTGGCGAGATAGGGCGAGGGTGAGAGAACAGAGTCTCACATCCTTCCTGCTAAGTCTACCCCGGAGCAGCTGAGTCAGACGCATCAGGGAATGGTGGGGGGAAGCTCCAGCTTCTCACTATCTCCAGATGTGAGAACCATCAGTAGAGGAGAGAGAACCCTGGGCCCGGAGGCGGAAGAAGCTGTCATTTTGCTTTTCTGGGGCTTTGGTTCTTCTGTTAACATAGGGAGCTCATTTACCCTGGCGGTAGGGGGGCACAGGGCTAAAATGGCCTGAGAGGGAAACACAGGTGAAATGAGCCCTGGGCAGCTTCGTCCTTCCCATGGCTGGGCCAGGCCCTGCCCAGGGCTGCAGAGGAGGCCAGAGGGAGACCGGCTCCAGGAATAAGTCATCTGTTAGGGCCAGGAGATGAACGAACAGAACACAGGCCCAACAGGACTGCTGACGGATGAGGAATACAATGTACTGGGGGCTGTAGAGAGGGAAAGGGCACGCCCAGCCCCAGGGGCTCTTGAATCTGGCCGCACCCCCTCCGCCAATCACCACTTTAAAAAAGTACCAAAGTCTGGGCTTTGTCTCTGAGATTTGGATCGAATTGGGCCTGGCAATGGTATTTTTAAAAAAGTTTCCCACGTGACTCCAGAGTTGCATCTAGGATTGAGAGCCACCGAACTAGAGAACCAGGGAGGCCCGGTTAAGAAGATGCCATTCTAGCTGGCAGGATCTTACTGGTGAGGGGAGGAAAAAGGGAATTCCAGGCAGGAAGAAAAACATCAGTAAAGGCCAAGAGGTGGGGAAAAACAGGGCTTGTGCAGGACACAGCTTGAGGTGCAACCTGGCTGTGCTGTTCCGAGGGGGCAAACGCCGTCCAGGTCTTTGATGCCAGGCTGAGGGTGTCGGGCTTAATGCAGCAGACAGTGAGCATACAATAGTAATTCCGTTTTTATATCTTAACGAGTCTAATAACAGTTGATCATAGCGGTCCCATTAGCCAAACAGCCGCAGTCAAAGATTATTGGAATATAAAGCTCCAGAGGGCCCACAAAGTTCTGGAATCATAGTTTGCCAATAAGGGTGTCTGGGCACCTTCCAGGTGCTGCTTTGGACTAGGCCTCAAGGGGATGTTCAAGGGCAAGTTTTATTTATTTATTTATTTATTTATTTATTTATTTATTTAACATGTATTTATTTATTTAACATGTATTTATTTGAGAGAGTATGCGCACGTGGGGGGAGGGGCATAGGGAGAGGGGGAGAGAGTCCCAGGCGGACTCTGCATGGAGCGTGGAGCCCGATGCGGGGCTCCATCCCAAGAGACCCTGAGATCAGGACCTGAACTGAAACCAACAGTCAGATGCTCAACCGACTGCGCCGCACAGGTTCCCCGGGAATGAGCTTTAAAAAGCCTAGTTAGAGGAGAAGGGCAGGCACGTGCATGTGCGCGTGCGCACACACCCACACATCCACGCCCACAATAGCACACAAGCAGGCAGCTGGGAGTGTCACTGGAGCTGAGTGAAGGCTGGAGGAGATGGGGTCTGAGCTGGACCCTGAGCAGTTTGGGGAGGGGGGAGGGGAGAGGGCAGGTCCATTGCTGGGACATTCCTTTGGTAATTATTCCTGATAACTGGTGGCCCCTTTCCCAGGTCCATGATGTCTGCGTCTGTCAGCACAACACTGCTGGCCCCAGTTGTGAACGCTGTGCACCCTTCTACAACAATCAGCCCTGGAGACCCGCAGATGACCAGGACCCCCACGAATGCCAGCGTAGGGTCCTGGATTCACCCCCTCCCCTGTAGTGGCTGGGTGAGGTGCTGGCCCCTCTGGGCCTCAATGATCTCACCTGGACACCCGGAGAATCTCTTCTTTATTATTTAAATCTAATAATCTAATCTTGATTGCACCCCGGTAATGTAAGCTCTCCTTACTTTGTGGGGATGGAGACAGTGTGGGTTGCAGCCACCCTCTGCCTCCCCAGGCCTTCTCAGTCAGGCCCGAAGGGACCAAGGCTGGTCTGTGCTACCGACGCCACATGGCCTTCGTGGTCTCCCTGGGTCCTCTTTCTTCTGGCCCCTTCACTTGCCTTGTCCTGTGTAGGACAAAGCTGGTTCCCTCTTCAGAGGGCCCCCTGGAGTCAGGGTCTTTCTCTGCACAAGTGGGAGAAACAAGGGTCCCCAGCCCAGAGAGAGGCAGTGACCTGGAAGGAGATCCATGGTGGCTATGGGGGAGGTTGGGATGGACCATTCCAAGGGCTCCCTTTTTGGACCCACACAGATGTTATTCTTGGGTTAGGCCCCATATTGGGAGTTAGGAGGCCCGAGTTCTTACTCTAGTCTGCTTTCTTACTGGCCGTATAATCTTAAGTGAGTTACATAAGGCTCCCTGGGCCTCAGTTTCCCCATTTCCTAGACCTGAGCACCTTGCAAAGTTGCAAGAGATGCCAGTGAATTAGCATGGAATGTGCTTTGTGGATGGAAGTGGGGCTGGTCTACGGTCAGCCCTGGAAATCTCCTTTTTCAGGGTGTGACTGCAACGGGCACTCAGAGACCTGTCACTTCGACCCAGCTGTGTTCGCCGCGAGCCAGGGGGCACACGGAGGTGTGTGTGACAACTGCCGGGACCACACCGAGGGCAGGAACTGTGAGCGGTGTCAGCTGCACTATTTCCGCAACCGGCGTCCCGGCGCTCCCATTCAGGAGACCTGTATCCGTGAGTACGGGCTCCAGGGACCCGGGGTATCATCTGCCCACCACTCACCGGAGCATCTGTGTCCCTGGGGACACACAAGCCCTCCGGAAGCACGAAGCCTTGGTTGTTTGTCAGGACTTGTGGGCAATTGTTTTAACTTAGCTGCGCACTGCTAAGCAAATCACTTAGCCTCTCTGGACCATCAGTCAATCAGTCGATAATTATGTAGCCCTTATTTTGGACATAGGAGAGACAAAAGTAAATATAAGAGACGGTTCCTGCTGTCAAGAAACACACACCCTGTTGGCAATGTAAATCATACTTGAAAAAGGCAGACTGAGCACTCCGTCCATGTATAGGTTATTGCCTTTACCATGTGTAACGTGGTTTGCTCTGTATTTTTCTTTCCCCCTCAATATTGAGAACTCCTCCATGGCAGGGCTTATGTCCTATATCCTCAGGCCCTAGTGCCATGACAGGCACATAGCTGATGCTGAAGAAATGTTTCCTGAAGGAACATACACATGGAACAGCCAGGAATGACTTAGCATGTCCACAAGGCCGCACAGGAGAGGGCAGAGTGGACCGAAGCAGTCTGCATCAGGCGGGGTTAATCACGAAGGACTCTTTAGACGGAGGGAGAATCTGCATTTTGAAAGGGCTGCAAGAGGCCTGGGGGTGGGGGTGGGAGAAAGCTGGTTCACTTCCTGTCGTTATTATTTGGGTATGGAAAGAGTGAGAAGGACAAGTTGACTTCTGTTTCCGCGGTTACTTGCTGGGTGACTTTGAGTGTGTTCCCACCTTTCGGGGTTGTCATGAGGATTACATCAGGCAACAGGCAAGCGTGCCCAGCTCAGTGCTTGGCATATAGCAGTTGTTCAGGAAATAACGGCCACAAAAACCTCTAAAGTACTTAACGTGGGCCAAACGCTGTCCTACCGACTTTTCATTTACTCATTTATTCCTCAGAGGGAATCTACGAGAGTTGTATCATTATACCCATTTTGCAGATGAGGGAACTGAGGCACAGAGGGGTTAAGTAACCTGACCAAGGTCGTAAGGTTGTGAGCCAGTAAGTGGCGGAATAAAGATCTGAACCAGGCAGTCTGCCTTCTACAATCTGCTCTTCACTTTCTGCTTTTCCTCTTTATATTCACTGTGGTGGCTGCTTTTGTCTCTCAGCCTGCGAGTGTGATCCCGATGGGGCTGTGCCAGGGGTTCCCTGCGACCCAGTGACTGGGCAGTGCGTGTGCAAGGAGCATGTGCAGGGGGAGCGCTGTGACCTGTGCAAGCCAGGATTTACGGGACTCACCTATGCCAACCCGCAGGGCTGCCACCGTGAGTCGGGGGCCTCAGCCTGGGATAGTATGGGGAAGATGGTGTGGGCCCCCAAGGCTCCTGACTTACCTCACGGGGCTGTGTGCCGGATGCCATGCCCCGCGTGTCCAGCAGGTGGCAGCACAGGCCCGGGTTGGAAGGTGGCACCGAGTTAGCCGGAGGGAGGGAGGGTGGGCGGCCAAGCTGCCAGGTGCCAGGCAGAAAAGCGCCGTGGCCTCGTGAGTCAACCGGGTCATCTGGAAAGAATGACCCTGCCTGGTTCTTTTCCCAGGCTGGGCCCTCTCCCTGCTGTGTGTCCTCCAGGGGTGTGCTTTGATTGTCTTGTGAGCTGAGTAACCCTCCCTCCTGCAGGCTGTGACTGCAGCATCCTGGGGTCTCGTCGGGACATGCCCTGCGATGAGGAGAGTGGGCAGTGCCTGTGTCTGCCCCACGTGGTGGGCCCCAAGTGTGACCAGTGCGCTCCCTACCACTGGAAGCTGGCCAGTGGTCGGGGCTGTGAGCCCTGTGCCTGTGACCCTCACAACTCCCTCGGCCCCCAGTGCAACCAGGTACAAGAGGGGGTGGCCCCCTGGGTCCCTCCGCGGAAAGGCCGCCTGCTCACCAGCCTCTGTCTCCCCTCCACGCTGCCCACACTCAGACTGGGCTGCTCTGTCCCTGTTCTCCTTGGGGACGCCACCAAATATCCCTCCCAGGGTGGCTCTGAGCCTTCTGCGGGGCCATTTGGGGCTTGGACTTCTGAGCTTGTCTCTGAATGGGAGCGCTTGTTTTGGGGGCACACCCGCTCTGCAGGCAGACCCAGGCCCCGACACCAGGGCAAGACCGGGCTTGCGGGGGAACTCCCTCACAGTGCTCTCCCCGACAGTTCACGGGGCAGTGCCCCTGCCGAGAAGGGTTTGGTGGCCTGACGTGCAGCGCCGCAGCCATACGCCAGTGTCCCGACCGGACGTACGGAGGTGCAGGCACGACATGCCGCGGTGGGTACTTTACCGAGTGGGGGGGCGCTGAGGCACCGGGGGCGAGCGTGTGCAGGAGGGTCTGCCGTGTGGGAGGATGTCCCGTACTGGGACGCGGGGGGTGGGCCCCAGCAGCCCCGTGAGAGCGCAAGTTCCCCGCACCTGCTCCAGCCAGTCCCAGGGCCGCCTGACCTCAGACCATCCCCCCCGGTCCCCATGACCGGAGGGTGCTTCGCTCCCTGTTTCCCTGAAGCAGCATTTCCCAGAAGCCATCTCCAGGGCAGCGGCAGGGAGGGGAGGAGTTTCTTCCTAGATGGAGAAAGTGAGTCCTGAGGGGGAAGGTGTGGTTTCCCCAGAGTCCATTTGACAAGTAGCCACAGGAGCATGGGACCTGGAGCGTGCAGACCCAGGTCTGGGCTCAGCGTGGCCTCCGTCTTACGGAGTGGCTGGGGCCAGTGGCTGCCCCCAAGGCCTCGGTTTCCTGAGGGCATGTCGCACTTAATATCTCTGTGCCTGGTGCTTGTCTGCACGCATGGGAAGATGAGCGTGGTTAACTCTGTCACAGAGTAACTATGTGAGCGGGCGGGTGTCTAACTTAGGGCAGTGCCTGGCACCTGGCACACAGTAGGTGCTAACTAAGGGCTTGCCTTCGTTGCTGCCATTGCCGTGATTTTACTCTGGCCTTGACTGTCTACTGTTTCAAGTCCTGTAGGCGGGCCCTGAGGTCAGACCTGCCTCTGGCTCTCCCTACCACATGCCTTTAGCTTCCTGACCCCCAACCCTGACCGTCATCTTTCCCCGCCTTAGCCTGTGACTGTGACTTCCGGGGGACAGAGGGCCCAGGCTGTGACAAGGCCTCAGGCCGCTGCCTCTGCCGCCCTGGCTTGACCGGACCCCGCTGCGACCAGTGCCAACGAGGTTACTGTGACCGCTACCCGGTGTGCGTGGCCTGCCACCCTTGCTTCCAGATCTACGATGCTGACCTCCGGGGGCAGGCCCTGCGCCTCAGCAGCCTCCGCAATGCCACTGCCGGCCTGTGGCCCGGGCTGGGCCTGGAGGATGCTGGCCTCACCTCCCGGATCGCGGATGCCAAGAGCAAGATGGAGCAGATCCAAGCAATCCTCTCCCGTCCCCCGGTCACTGAGCAGGAGGTGTCCCAGGTGGCCAACGCCATTTTCTCCATCAGGTAAACTTCCCTTTCCCTGCCGGGTACCCGGAAGAATTCCCTCACATGGGTTCACATAAGTGGCACACGTGGGTCCTTCCACTGGTACAGCCCTTTACAGTTTACAGAGCATTTTCGCATGTGCTCTCTCTTTGAACTATCACAACGGTCCTGTGAGGTTGGTGTTTGGGTGTCATTACTTCCGTCTCGCAGGTGGGGAAACAGGCATAGATGGGTGATGTGACAGAGTCACACGGCCACTGAGGAGCAGAGCTGGGACTCAGAGCACAGGCAGGAGCCCCAGTGTTCTTTCAAGTGCCCAGCGCTGCCCGTGGGAGAGAGTCAGCTCTGGATTAGTCACCCTGGTGCAGGGCATCTGAGAGGCAAGGGCTCCAAAAATAACTTGTGTTTGCCTTTGGAATGGGAGCGGTCCCACCCACACCTCCTTCCTACCAGCAGAGGCCCCTTCTTAGGAAGGTTTGGTTCTGGAAGTTTCTATAATTAGTTTGCATTCCCCAAGCACTAGCTGACTTTTGGTGCCCAGAGCCATCCAGGTATATGATTGACCTAAGTCTCAGAATTGAGTAGCAAGTCCATAGGTATTTGGTAGGCTGAAAAAGCAGGCATAGAAGGGTGCTCCATGGAAGGACGTTCCATGCCAGAGCAAAGCCTGTAGGTGAAGAATGCAAAGCTTGTGGGAGGGAGTTGGTGGTTGGTAGACCAGCAAAGGGGATGCGGAGAGAGGAAAGCTGAATGGTTGTGGGCCAGGGCTGGTGGATCCTGACCCCCTTTGGGTGGAGACGACCAGCGGGGCTGCAGCTATGGGTCCTCGTGGGAAGGTGTGGGCTGCAGAGGAGAGACTTAGGAGCCTGGCGAGCAGGTGGTACAGGTGGGAAAGCTGGTGTCAGCCTGCAGCGAGCCAAGGAGGAAGGGGTCAGGGTGACACGCCTCATGGAAGCCCGCTCTGGGGAGGTGCAGCAGGCTCAGGACTCTAGAGGCACACAAGTTGAGGAAGGAGAGGTTTTTGCGATCTGCCTGCCGAGGGATGGAGGGAGCTTGCGCCGGCTCTTCCAGCCTTTGTCCAGCAGAATCCTCCACAGCCTGTGGAGTCTGCATTCGGCGGCCTTTGCTGAAGACCTCTCTCTTTCCTGCCTCACAGAGGTTTCTCCAAGGGGCTGGCAGTTTCTGGGGAGGCAGCCCCTCTTCCGTATTTTAGTGAAAGCTCTTCTCCCATCTCAGGCAGACTCTCCAGGGCCTGCAGCCTGATCTGCCCCTAGAGGAGGAGACCTTGTCCCTCTCAGAAGACCTGAAGAATCTGGACCGAAGCTTCAGTCACCTCCTCGTTATGTATCAGAGCAAGAAGGAGCAGTTTGAAAGGATAAGCGGTGCGAATCCTTCAGGTAAGGAGGGCTGCTCAGACAGCTGCACGCAAGACCACGCCGCACCTTGGCTCCGCACCTGCTGCTCCTCCATCTTCAGGCCTCCCGGGCCGGGGTGGCTCACTACCCTTCTTGTCTCCCTGCAGGGGCCTTCCGGGTGCTAACCACAGCCTTCCGGCGGTCCTCCCAGGCTGCTCAGCGGGTCTCCGATGGCTCCCGCCTGCTCTTGCAGCTCAGGGATGGCCGGCGAGAGGTGGAGAGGCTGGAGGGCCAGCTGGGAGGAGGAGCCGGAGTTAGTGGGCCCCAGCTCGTGGCCCTGAGGCTGGACATGGCTTCCTTGCCTGATCTGACACCCACCATCAACAAGGTGACTCGTGGCTTGGAACCCCACTTCCTGGATCCCCCTGCTCCAGCTTGTCACACACCGGCTGCTGCCGTGTTTCCTCCTAGGGCAGTGTGAACCCGCCCCGCTCCCCCCCACCCCCATCCTGGTCTTTGGCCCCTCACGCTGTGCTCAGTGGTTGCCAAGGAAACAAGTTTCTGGTGCCTGGTTGCCATGGAGATGTCTGGCTGTTTGTTCCCTGGGTGTGGGGTGGGAGTGGTTGTTGAAGAGCCTTGGGTACCCTCTTTGACGCCTCCTCCTCTCCACAGCTCTGCGGGGGCTCCAGGCAGACGGCCTGTACCCCAGGAGCGTGCCCTGGAGAGCTGTGTCCCGGAGACAATGGCACGGCATGTGGCCCTCACTGCAGAGGTGCCCTCCCCAGGGCAGGTGGGGCCTTCCGGATGGCGGGGCAGGTGGCCCAGCAGCTGCAGGGCTTCAGTGCCCAGCTCCAGCGAACCCGGCAGATGGTAGGTGCAGCCAAGGGGGGTGGGCGCACGTAGGGTGAGGCTAAGGGGATAGAGCCCCGAGGGCAAGTCAGTGGTTATCTTACAAGTCAGGAGACAAAAGCCCAGAGAGGTTAAGTGACTTGTCTGAGGCCCCATAGCCAGTGGGAGGTCGAGTGTGGGGCCAGTGTTTTGGGCTTTTTTACCTGACTCCACATCATTTCTTCCAGAGCCAAACCAGGTTAGCTACCGATGTTTCCCAGGTAGATTGTGGGTAGCGGGTGTCCACTGAATCCCTGAGGGCTTTGAGAGGCTCTCTCGGGGCCTTGACCACTGCTGACCTGTACTGTGTGCTGGCAGGTCAAGGCCGCTGAGGAAGCCGCCTTGAAGGTGCAGTCAGACGCTCAGCGCCTGGAGACCCAGGTGAGCGCCAGCCGCTCCCAGATGGAGGAGGATGTCAGGCGCATGCGGCTCCTCATCCAGCAGGTCCGGGACTTCCTGTCGGGTGAGCCTGGCCCTTACTCTCCTTTGGCCTGATATTTGGACTCCTGCCTGGCGCTGGACCCTCCATTCCCTCCATGGAGCTAGCTGCCTCCTCCCCTCGCCTCCGGGCCACCTGGGCCAGGTGCCCACCGCTCACCTGGGTGGCTGCCACCGCCCTCTCTTGCCGCCTTGGGAGTAGAAAGATCCCTGGACAGGACTCGGGAAACCTGTGACTTTGGGCAGGCTGCTTTTCTCTTTGCCTCATGTTTCGCTTCTGCAAACCGGGATGGTAGTATTTCATGTTCCTTCCGGGGACCTAGTAACTGATGTAAAGTAAGGGCTTGGTGTGACCACAGGGCTCTTCTTGCTACTCCTGTGGGCCCTTTGCTTCCCACAGGTCCCAACCCCGTCCTGACTGTGGAAGGCAGGTTGGAGAGAGGCGGGGAGGATCTGCTGGCAGCCGTGGCTTGCCTGAGGCCAGGCTGGAGTCAGCCTCCGGAGAGCCCCAGAGTGGGGGAGAGTGGATGCAGGGAGATGGTGCTCCAGAAACAAGGATGAAGGGGCAGGCCAAAGTTTGGGGCGTGGACTCGCGGATAAGGAAATCCTCCCCCAAGCAGAGCCTGTGAGGCCCAATGGCATCAGCCTTAACCAGGAGGTGGGAGGGAGGTTAGGGAGTCTCTGGGGTACAGCCTGGGCTCACGTGAACAGGCAGGGAGTCGCTGGGCCGGGGGTTCCTTTTTGTCCTCTAAATTATAGTGTGTCTCAGGTCAAGTCCTCTGATGGGACCAAGGGCCAGGAGAAGGAGCAGAGTCTGAGAGAGGCCTGACCCCTGCGAAGGGCCCACAACAGTTCTGGCAGTCTCCATGGCAATGGGTTTTGGTCCCCAGAGTACTGTGCAGGGGGCACAGGTACTAACTAGCTGCTGCTGTGCGCAGGGTCAGTGTGTGGGGGGGTGCGTGGGAGGCCCGTGAGGCAAGGAGGACATGTGGGCTTTCCCAGGTCTTCACACGGAGTTCACAGAAATCACAGCTCAGGCTTACTGAGTTCTCACCGAGCGCCTAGCACCGTTGTAAGCGCATCACAGGTATTTCATGACTTAGTCCTGATTGCCTACTGCTTCGCAGAGGAGGGCTTCGGGCACAGGGAGGTTAAGTAACCTGCCTAAGGGCATCCAGCTTGGAGGGAATGTGGGTAGGATTCTTCTCATTCTGTCGTCCACAGTCTAGATGATTGTGCTATTAGATGGACACACACGCACGGTTTTTGCTAATGCTTTTCCTCTCTCTGGATTGCTCCCCTGCCCCACCTCTCCAGACCTGGCTAAGTCCTGCTCCCCCTCTAAGAATCCTCTAGATGGCCCACTCTCCAGGAAACCTCCCCTTGCTCCCTCCTTCCGCCCCATCAGACTGGGTTAGGGCGCCACTCCAGTGGCCATCTGAGCACCCTGTGCTCACCCTCCGCACTTAGGCTGGCCCTCCTTGGTTATGTGCCTTGTCTGTCCCACTAGGTTTCAAGCTCCGTGAGGACAGGGACTGAGTCTGCTTTGATTTTCATTCTCAGTTCACCACGTGCTGGCCCCAAGTCCCAGGGCAAGCCGTCTGGGTGGGCGGGTGCCCCCTCCCCTCCCACGCCAGTCCCTGGGATCTGTAAAAGTGAAAGGGAGAGATAGGGAGGAGATGCCACCTCTGTACTTCTGACCTTACTCTCTGACCGGAGTTGGCTTGTAAAATCCTTGCTGACTGGTTGTTTCATTTCATCCCTTCACGTTGAGGATCGTTATCCATTTCGCAGGTCTGGAAAGCGAGCTTAGAGAAGCCATTTGACTTGTCCCAGTTTGCTTGACGAGTAGTAGGCCTGAGTCTGGAGGTCTTTGAATCATTCGTTCGCTGTACAAACACGAAGTGCCTCGGAGGGCCAGGCACTGTGGCTGGGGCCGGGGGTATGGACGACACCCAGTCCCTGCCATCACAGGGCTTCTGGCCAGGTAACAGACAGAAAACAGACAGATCCGTGAGTCACGGGTTCGGCACGTGGGAGGCGATAAATGATAGGGAGAAGGAGAAGCAGAGAAGGAGAGTAAGGGGTGTTGGCACAGGGGGAAAGGTGCGATTCTAGATCGCGTGGCCACGGTTGGCCTCTCTGGAAAGGTGACATTGGAGCAAAGACCTGATGATCTCTCTCTGCCTTTGCGGAAACGAGCACGCTGGCCTGGGGAGGGGCGCGTGGAAGGGGTCTTCTTGCCAAGGAAGCAGTTCCAGTTCCTGGCCTCTCTCCCCAGCGCAGGGCTAATTATGTTTGTGCTGCAGGCATTGTTCAGTCCCAGCTGTCTGGCACCACCTCCTTCTCTCCAGCCTGCAGTTTCCTGTGGCCCCAGACACTTAGCTGCCACAGCTGTGCCCACAATCGTCCTCCCACAGTGTTCCCAGAAGTGGTGTGAACGGGCACCTGAGTGTCCCCGCCAGGGTTGTGGCGGCTCCTCGGGCAGCGGGGGGCAGAGATGCACGCGGGTGCTTCCCTGGAGCTGCTCAGCTCGGAGAAACCTCTGATCTTCGGGGAGGTGGCGAGTCTTCCCCGGGTCTGATGGATGGCTGTCTTCCAGACTCTGACACCGATGCGGCCACCATCCAGGAGGTCAGCGAGGCCGTGCTGGCCCTGTGGCTGCCCACAGACTCGGCCACGGTGCTGCGGAAGATGAATGAGGTCCAGGCCATTGCCGCCAGGCTACCCAACGTGGACCTGGTGCTGTCTCAGACCAAGCAGGACATTGCTCGGGCTCAGAGGCTCCAGGTGGAGGCTGAGAAGGCCAGGTATGGCCCAGGGCCCTGAGCCCACGCTTCTCGCTGCCCAGGGTTGGGCTGGTGTTTTGCTCCCTGACTCCTTTGGTTGCTGGCAGAAGAAAAAGAATCTGTACATGTCAGAGCGGTGCAGAGGGCTGGGGGACAGAAGGGGTGCTTACTGTAGTGGGGGGTGGTAAAGTGAGAAACAGTGTCCAGGGTGAACTTTCCTCGGCATGACCGTGTCTTCCATATTGGTGACACCAAAGGGTGTCTCAGACGTAACGCTCACACTCCTCATGTGACGTAAGGCTCAGACTCCTCATGTCTGCTCTGTGGGGTCCCGGGATGGAAAAGCTGCTGTGTTAATACTCCCTTTTTAGTCTTGGCTGGGAAGAATCTTCTCTTGAACCGGTTGGTGAGTGGAGCCATGCATCTCTTCATTCACTGGTCGCTCATTCTTTCTTTCTTTCTTTTTTTTTTTTTTTTTAAAGATTTTATTTATTTATTTGACACAGAGAGAGAGGGAACACAAGCGGGGGAGTGGGAGAGGGAGAAGCAGACTTCCCGCCTAGCAGGAAGCCCGATGCGGGACTCGATCCCAGGACCCTGGGATCATGACCCGTTGCTCATTCTTTCTTATCTCCCTTCCCCTCCCCCTGCTGCAGGAGCCGAGCCCACGCGGTGGAGGGCCAGGTGGAGGACGTGGTGGGGAACCTTCGGCAGGGCACGGTGGCTCTGCAGGAAGCTCAGGACACCATGCAAGGCACCAGCCGTTCCCTTCGGCTTCTCCAGGAGAGGGTTGCTGAGGTGAGGTGGTGTGACTTCCTTCCGCCGCATTTGGGAATGAACAGACAGATTCAGGCACAAGATATAGAAAATGCCTGAAGGTGACCTGGAAGGGGACCTAAAGAGGGGGACTATGAGCTCTG